ATTAAATTTCAGTGAAACCAAACCAAGAAAAGGAGAACCAACAGCAACCAAGGATCCCCTCATTTTGGGCTTGCATGGGCTGGTGTGTTTATTTCTCTCTTCACTTTTTTCCCCTCTAAATAAATTGTTTTATTGATATATAAAAGTCTAAAGTGTACTTAAAAGTCTTAAGTGTACTATGAATTTTCACAAAAAGAACTCACCGGTGAAATAATTATCCAGAGTGATAACTAGAGTAGTATCGTAACTGAATGACCCTTTTTGCCTCTCCCACTCATTAGCTCTCTCTTCCCCAAAGGTAGACTTCTGTCATAAGTTCTATCTGTTGTTGAACTTCATAAAATCAAAACTATACAATGTAGTTTCTTACATCTGTTCTTTGTCACACTTTATTATTTTGTGGTAGTTACTGGTAGTGTTGTATATAGTTTCATTTGTTTACATTGCAGTGTATTATTCCTCTCTGCAAATATGCCAGAATTTATCCATTCTTCTGTCATCAAAAATTTAACCTATGTTTTTGGCTAGTAAGAATGTTGCTGTGCACTTTCTTTAACTTACCTCCAATGCGTATTTGTGCACTATGTTGGATGTGTACCTGGAAGTGTAGGGATCTCTAGTTATAGATTTTTTTCTATATTAAGCTTTAGTAAATACTGCTAGTGAATTTCTTATCTGGGTATACCAAAAATGAGTAGATTTCCCCATTTGTTGTGTCTACATTTTCACAATGCAATGAAGTAAATGTGAATCAAAACTACCCTAAGTTGCTACTTATGATATAAAGTGTTACTGTTATAGTTTTACCCTTCCAGGATGAAATTAAGAGTATATCAATTGATTTGATAGCAGATATTAGCCATTTTAATGACTGATTTGCATAGTCATTCAGATGTTCTGACTGGCGGTTGAGGTGTTTACGAAGGTCTTTTGATTTTGGTAGGTTCTAACCTCCCGAGGTTTTGTTTTTTTTTTTTTCCTTCTAGTACAGTTGAGGCCACTAATAGCTTTAGTTAGGTTTTCAGCCATAGCAACTGTTTTCTGTTTGGTTCCCCAGACTCTCAATTTCATTCATTTATGACTGACAAGTGTTTCTAGGAGAAAGCAGCTCAGACTGTCAGATTTACTTCTCTAAGCTTCCCTTCTCTTCAAAATGTTGGCCCCTCAACCCTGAGCTGCCTGGCTAATAACATTCAATGTCAGAATTTTTCTCCCCAGGTTGATGAGTCCCCTGAAGGCTGTATTCAACTTCTATAAACCTTAGTCAACTCTTTCTGCTTGGCTTATTAGTGTATCAGGCAACACTGCTTATGAATCAGCAAATGGATTGAACCAAAAAGTGGCATGGAATATTATGTTTACCACAATCATTTTCTCTTCTCCCAGAGATGTTGGCCCATCAACTACTGACTGTTTTGATAGCTCAATAATATTTCAGACACCTTTATATTATATATTGTCCATGGGTTTTTGCAGTTGTTTTTATTGTAAATATGGGTATGCTACATGCCATTCTACCATCACCAGAAGAAGCGAAATTCTTCTCATTCATTATTATGTCTTCCACTGTGTGTCAGCATTCTATGATGTTTCTCAATTTAGGTTGAAAATGGGCACTGTGGAGACTCATGATCTAATACTAATCTTCAAATCTAATACTCACAGACATTGAAGGGAGTTTTGTGAGTGATTTCCAAATTTTGGAGATTCATAATTTTCAAATCCATTACTCAACAGACACTGAAGGAAGTTTTATGAATGAGTGCCAAATTTTCAAGAAGAAATCTAGCATTATAACTGACAGATTAAGGTGTGTGTGTGTGTGTGTGTGTGTGTGTGTGTGTGTGTGTGTGTTTGTGTCTGTGTCTGTGTAGGGGGGAGTTGTTATTTGACCTTTTTTTTTTTTATAAATCTTTTTTTTTTTTAAGATTTATTTATTTATTTATTTATACAAGCACTGGGTACAGTCAGAAGCTCGGGAGGGTGAGAGAATTCACCAGAGCCAGAGCGGGGAGCAGAGCAGGTAGAAGGCCCGAAGTACACTGCTGAGGGGAGCAGCGGGCAGCAGGAGAGGTCTGCGCGCCATGTGGGACCCTCCTCCAGTGGCTGGGGAGCAGCCGGGGATCGAACGGGCGCTGCAGAAGCCGCGGCAGCTTCGCAACCCAGCGCTCAACCGCTGTGCTACCTGGGAGGCCCTGACCCATTATTTTTTTTAAAGATTTATTTATTTATTTATACAAGCACTGGGTACAGTCAGAAGCGTGGGAGGGTGAGAGAATTCACCAGAGCCAGAGCGGGGAGCAGAACAGGCAGACTGACGAAATACACTGCTGAGGGGAGCAGTGGGCGCAGCAGGAGAGGTCTGTTGCTCCATGTGGGATCCTTGCCGGTGGCCGGGGATCGAACTGGTGCTGCAGAGGCTGTGGGCAGCTTCGCAGCCCATTGCTCAACCACTGCACCACCGGGGAGGCCCTGACCCATTATTTAAGTCACAGGAAATCTACAATATTGGCATATGTCTCTCAGTCAGCAATGTAGCCACCCCTCTCTGTGGCAGGTTGTACTATTCCAGTATCTCTATAAGCACAGTTTTCTAAAGTTTCTTCTTATCGTCTCTGAACCACTGCTCCTACTGAGTTTGTGGTGTACATTTTTCCTTCATTTTGGCAATGTTTTCACATTGTTCTGCTGCAATCTTCTTGTAGGTATCTGGAGGAAGTGAACCTGGCATCTTCACTCTGCTGTCATTTTACTGAGTCAGATTATAATTTTGAAAAAGTTAACTCTAAAGAGAAGTATAGGTAATTTATAACCCTTCTATAAAACATTTGTTTATTAATTGAAAAAAAGATTTATTAAATAACTCTTATGTACAGCCTTACTGATGATGGTAGAGCAGTGAAAAAGGTAAATAAGGTTGTGTCCTTGGGAAGTTAACTTTGTAGGAATGGAAAACATAAAGCAATACAATTAAATATGTAAAGATACAATTTTAATATTTCTCATAATAATGCAAATTGTAAATAAAATAGCAATGTAAAAAAGTGAAAATAGGGGCCAGTATAAGATGTGGGGCAAAAAAATGCTTTGAGAAGGTGACATTTAATCAGAGATGCAATGATTAGGTGTCATCCTTGCAAAGATCTAAAAAAGAGATGACCACTTAAAAACAAAAGCAAATGCCATAGTCCTTGTGATAACCAACCTGTAATGACCCCTTCCTCTTAATACTTATACCTTTGCATAATATAATATCTTGAATAATGCTGACTTGTGTAATTAATAAAACATGCAGAAATGGTGTGTCATTTATAAAGCTAGATCATAAAAGTCATGGAGGCTTACATCTTACTGTCCAGAATCACTCATTTATGAGAAAGCCAGTTATTTTGTAAGGAATCTCAAGCAAACGTGGATAGGGTAATCTGATGAGGGACTAGTATCTCCTCCCAAATACCAGGCAGGAACAGAGCCTGCCAACAGCCTTGGGATTCTTCCATATCTTGGAAATGAATCCCTTACCACAGGTAAGCTTCTAGTGATTGCAGTCTAGACCAGTATTTGACAGCGACTTTAAGAGAGACCTCAAGTTAGAACTTATTATCTAAGTCACTCCCACGTTGTGAACCACAGAAAATAATAAAAGTGTTTGCTGTTTTAAACCACCAAGTTTTCGGATACTTTGTTACAATGTAGTAGGTAACTAAGATAGGGTTTGGTAATAGAAGTATGGAGCTGCTGTAACAAATATGTAAATATGTACAAGTAACTTCGAGACCAGGCAATGAGAAGATGGAAGGATTTTAAGTAGAGGAGATGAAAATGCAACAGAGGACTGTAGGCTGAAGCCTAAGGGTTTTTGTGTAAAGCTGATAGTATGGGTTTGAAGTAGAATGAAAGAAAAGGGATCCTTTTCTATTTATAATAAGCTTAGCAACCCTGTTACCTGAAGTTATGTGAAAAGTAGAAAATGTGGTTAATGAAATGATTCTGTTAAGGACATTTCTGAACTTGACCCTGATTATAGTAAATGAAAGAGGTAAGAGATAACCTGAAAAAAAAAAAAAAAACTTATAGAAAAGGAAAGATGAGTGTGAGTGTGGAACCAAGGGTAGAACCAGAGTTATTCTTGGGCAGAAGTAAGACTGCATCCTAATAAAGGAAATTCTAATATTTGTCTAGCTGGATTTTAGTTACTCCTGGATGTCTCCAATTTACCCTGTTTTTTGAGTAGAAGTAGCTTTAGAGATTTTTTTTTTTTTAATATTTTGTGATTTCCGGGGCCTCCTTGGTGGCATAGGCGGTTGAGCACAGTGCTGTGAAGCTGTCCACAGCCTCTGTAGTGCCAGTTCGATCCCCACTGCCTGTGGAGCAACCCACATGGTGGGGCAGACCTCTCCTGCCTTACCCGATGCTCTCCTCAGCAGTGTATTTCAGTCATTCTTCCTGTTCTGTTCCCTGCTTTGTCTCTGGTGAATCCTCTCACCCTCCTGCACATCTGGCTTGTACCCCAGTTCTTGTATAAATAAAAAAAAAAATTGGTGATTTTCCTAAATCTGTCTCACCATTGTATGCTGGAGACAGATAACACCACTCTTTTTCATAGACCTTATGATCAAAGGAAACTGCTCTAAGGAAGAGTTGTAATTAAGAAATTACACTTGAGGGGCTTCATCTACCCTGGGACTTTAATTTAGATGCTAAAATTCTGGAATTTAAGCTGATAGTGTAGTGGAATGAAACTTCTGAAGGACTTTGAGAGGGAGTGAATATATTTTGCGTGTACGGAAGCTGTGAACAGAGGACAGACTGTGAAAGGCAGCCTCCTTTCTCACCTGGTTATTCCTACCTATTGGTAATACCTTCATACTCTGAGTAGGATTGACTTGTAATCAATAGGGTATTTGGAAATTGATTGAATAGGATTACTGAGACTAGATTATGAGAGCCATTGTAGTGTTTGTCTTGATCTCTTTCATCACTTTCTCTTGGGGTGCCAGCTGCCATCACATGAAGCTACTCAAGAAACTCTATGGAGAAGGCCATTGGCAAGGAACTTAGGCCTTCCACCAAAAAGCAGAGAGGAGCTGAGCGGCCTGCTGCCAGTAGTTATGTGAGTATAACATCCAGACCCAATCAAGCCTTCTCTTTACCTCAACCTCCGTGAGCATCTTAATCATGACACAGGAGGGATCTTAAGAGAACCAAATGCCCAAAAATAGATGACTGGATCAAGAAGATGTGGTACATATATACCATGGAATATTACTCAGCATTCAAAAAAGATAAACACATGCAATTTGCAGCAACATGGATGGCACTGGAAGGGATCATGCTCAGCGAAATAAGCCAAAAAGAAAAAGAAAAATACCGGATGGTCTCACTCATAGCAGGAATCTAGAAAACTTAAATAAGGGACCAGGAAAATGAATAACTATAAGAAAGTGAAAATCAAAATCAACAAAAAACTATGAACCAGAGTCACTTTTAGGGGGCGGGGGCGGGAGGGGAGGGATTGGGGTCAGAATGGGGGGGCTGCAATTGTATGGGGAATATAAAAATAAAATTTATTATTTAAAAAAAAAAGAGAACCAACAAGATGAACTTTTATACCACTGTAGTTTGGGGTAATTCATTATACAGTGATAAATGAGCAACACAGTTCTGGTTTTAGGAGTAACAGGACCAGAGCTATTGAGACACTGAGTAAAATAGAGATTGACAGAAGATAGAGTTGGAGAGATGTTTGGAGGCAGATAAATAAAGGAAAATACAAACTATGATAAGGAATTAAGTTTTATTATGAATTCAGTTGGATATCATTGAAGAGTTGCAAGTATAGTACAGGAGAAAGAGAAATAAACCAAATTTAATTGTTCATTAATTTATCTAGAAAGTATTTGTTAAATGCATTCTTTATGGCAGATATTGAGATTGGTAATTGTGATAGAATAGTGAAGAAGATGCATAATATACCTTCTTACTAGGATTTATATTTCATTGTTCCTGTCAATAACAGGTAGACAGATTTTAAAATAAAGCAACAGAAATATAGACTGTGAAGGAAATTAAGAATGGTAGTAGAAGTTGTAGCATGATGGGAGAGTGGTGAGTGAAAGAAGATGCTTTTAGGTTGGAAAAGATCTGAAGATGATAAAGTTTAAGTCTAGACTTGCAGGAGGAAAAGGAACTAGCTAAGGGAAAGTAGGTGATAACTATCATCAGACATGATGGAAAGGTCTTTAAGGGGGAAAGAGCTTGACATAATCATACAGCAGATAATAAATTAGTATATTCAGGGCAGCCTTAGCAAGGAGTGGGTTGCATGAGATGAGGTTGGCAGAGTAGTCAGGAATCAAAAGGCCTCAGGGGCCATAGAGTGTTTGGACAACTTCCAGAAGTTTTTGAACAGCTGAATATTAAGATCTGATTTATGTTTTAAGATAATCACTTTTGCTATATGAAGAAAGTTAAAAATATTTAAATAAAATAGGTTATAATTGTACACATCCAGGATGAAATTAAAAGAGTATATCAGTTGATTTAATAGCAGATATTAGCCATTTTAATGACTGATTTGCATAGTCATTCAAATGTACTAACTGGTGGCTGGGGTATTTACTAGGTTCTTTTGACTTTGGTAGGTTCTAAGCTCCAGAGTTAGTTATTTATTTATTTTTCTTCTAGCACAGTTGAGGCCACTAATAGCTTTAGTTAGGTTTTCAGCCTCATAGTAACTGTTTTCTGCTTGGTTCCCCAGACTCTCAATTACATACATTTATGAATGACAAGTATTTCTAGGAGAAAACAGTTCAGACTGTCAGATTTACTTCTCTGAGTAAAATATGTTATTTATATGAAATATATAAAGTATGCCAACATATTTTGAAGGGGACAAAATACCTTTTGAAGGAGAAAAGGGAGACTAGTTACCAGGTTTTGTAGCAAATTGCTGAAGAAAGTGTGTCATGTGTCAGGATGGTGGCAGTCTATATAAGGAGAGGTGGGTGGATCAGATGGAAAAGGATATATTTTGGAAATTGCTATTGGAGGGGGAGGATGGTTTAGTGTGTTGCAATAGACGCTCTTTATAGTTTAATGGCATTTCTTTTTCTGCCCAAAGAAGTATATGGCAAATATTTTCCAAGTGCTTAAAAATTAAATCATTTGTAAATTAATTTTGTTTCTAATTGCTAAAGACATTCATAGCACCCCTTGAAATCATTAATAAAATAAGAAATTACTGAGTTAGTAAGTAATGATACTCTTTCCCCTTGTTTAAGTGACAAATAATAAATCCTACAGATAAAAAATGCCATTAAGGGTATGATGGGGTAAATATAGTGAAAGTGATGTTCTTTGAAAACAAAATTACCTATTTTCAATTGAGCTAATATTTGGATACCCACATCAGGTATTATCACCCTAGTGATCTGGCCAGCAAATCACTCATTGTCTATTACCGTATTTCCATGTGCCTCCTTCTCTCTTTGTTATTCCCTTCCACCATCCCTCCCCTCTCTCTGGGTGTTTCAGTTCTATAGTCAGTTTTCAAGGGTTGGTTTTTTTTTTTTAAATATTAAATTTTATTTTTATATTCCCCCATACAATTGCAAACGCCCCATTTTGACCCCAATCCTTCCCCTCCCGCCCCCCCACCCCCCAAAAAGTGTCTCTGGTTCATAGTTTTTTGTTGATTTTGATTTTCACTTTCTTATATTCATTTTCCTGGTCCCTTATTTAAGTTTTCTAGATTCCTGCTATGAGTGAGACCATCCGGTATTTTTCTTTTTCTTTTTGGCTTATTTCGCTGAGCATGATCCCTTCCAGTGCCATCCATGTTGCTGCAAATTGCATGTGTTTATCTTTTTTGAATGCTGAGTAATATTCCATGGTATATATGTACCACATCTTCTTGATCCAGTCATCTATTTTTGGGCATTTGGGTTGTTTCCAAAGCTTAGCTATTGTAAACAGTGCTGCTATAAACATAGGAGTGCAGGTGCTCTTTGGAATTGATGTTTCTGTGTCCTTTGGGTAAATACCTAGGAGTGGAATTGCTGGATCATATGGAAGCTCTATGTTTAGTAGGTCCAGAAATCTCCACACAGCTCTCCATAGTGGTTGGACAGTTTGCACTCCCACCAACAGTGCACAAGAGTTCCTTTTTCTCCACATCCTCGCCAACATTTGTTGTTGCTAGTTTTTTTAATATGTGCCATTCTCACTGGTGTGAGATGGTATCTCATGGTAGTTTTGATTTGCATTTCCCTGATTACAAGTGATGTTGAACATTTTTTCATATGTCTGTTGGCCATTTGCATTTCCTCTTCAGAGAAGTTTCTTTTTAGCTCTTCTGCCCATTTTTTGACTGGATTATTTTCTTTGTTGTTGCTGAGTCTCATCAGCTCTTTGCAGATTTTTGTGATCAGTCCTTTATCATTAGTGTTGGGTGCAAAAATGTTCTCCCAGTTGGTGGGGTTTCTCTTTGTTTTTGTTATTGTCTCTTTTGCTGTGCAGAAGCTCTTTAATTTGATGTAGTCCCAGCTGTTTATCTTTCTCTTCACTATCACTGCTTTGGGTGATGTGTCTGTAAAGATGTCTTTGCTGTGCAAATCCCGTAGTGTTTCGCCTATATTTCCTTCTATGTATTTTATGGTTTCAGGTCTTATGTCTAGTTCTTTAATCCATTTTGAGTTGATTTTTGTGTATGGTGTGAGGTGGTGGTCAAGCTTCATTCTTTTGCATGTAGCGACCCAGTTTTCCCAGCACCATTTATTGAACAAACTTTCTTTGCTCCAATGCATAGTCTTTGCTCCTTTGTCAAAGATTAGTTGACCATAAATCTGTGGGTTTATTTCTGGATTTTCTATTCGATTCCATTGGTCTGTATGTCTGTTCTTGTTCCAATACCATGCAGTTTTGATGATTATGGCTTTGTAGTATAGTTTGAAGTCTGGGAGTGTGATGCCTCCATTTCCTTCTTTTTTTTTCAGTAGAGCTTTGGCTATTCGGGGTTTTTGGTGATTCCATATGAATTTCATCAATAATTGTTCTATTTCTTTGAAGAATGCCATTGAGATTTTGATTGGAATAGCATTGAATCTGTATATTGCTTTTGGTAGGATGGCCATTTTAATAATGTTTATTCTTCCAATCCATGAGCAGGGGATGTCTTTCCATTTCTTTGTGTCTTCTTCTATTTCTTTTAACAGTGTTTTATAGTTTTCTTTGTATAAGTCCTTTACCTCTTTTGTTAGATTTATTCCCAAATATTTGATTTTTTTTGTTTCGATAATAAAAGGGGTGGTTTTTTGATTTCTTCTTCTTCAGATTTATTGTTTGTGTATAGGAAGGCTACTGACTTTTGCGTGTTGATTTTGTATCCTGCCACTTTACTGAATTGATTGATGAGTTGAATTAGTTTTTCTGTGGAGATTTTGGGGTTCTCTATGTATATTATCATATCATCTGCAAATAGTGATAGTTTGACTTCTTCTTTTCCTATTTGGATTCCTTGGATGTCTTTCTCTTGTCTTATTGCTCTGGCTAGGACTTCCAGTATTATATTGAAAAGCAGTGGTGAGAGTGGACATCCTTGTCTTGTTCCAGATCTTAATGGAATTGCTTTCAGCTTTTCACCATTGAGAATGATACTGGCTGTTGGCTTGTCATAGATAGCCTTTATGATGTTGAGGTATGTTCCTTGTATCCCAAGAATTTCAAGGGCTTTTATCATGAATGGGTGTTGCACTTTGTCGAAAGCTTTCTCAGCATCTATTGATATTATCATATGGTTTTTATATTTCTTTTTGTTGATGTGTTGGATAACGTTGATTGATTTTCGGATGTTAAACCATCCTTGTGCCCCTGGAATGAATCCAACTTGGTCGTGGTGAATTATCTTATGGATACATTGTTGGATTCTGATAGCTAAAATTTTATTGAGGATTTTTGCATCAGTGTTCATTAGGGAGATTGGCCTATAGTTTTCCTTTTTTGTGTTGTCCTTATTCGGTTTTGGTATTAGTGTAATATTGGCTTCATAGAACGTGTTTGGTATTGTCCCTTCCTTCTCAATTTTTTGGAAGAGTTTGTGAAGGATAGGCACTA